CACACACACACCCACACCCACACCCCCACGATGACCCAGGGTTGGGGTCACAATTTTGGATTTATTTACGCACTTTAAGAAGAAGAAGATTTTTAATTGGGATTTACACACAGGTCTGAAATACACACACGCACAAACATTAACTTATTGGGAGAAAACTGGTAGTTCTATGTAAAATCAGACGTTGAGGACCCACATATCGCCAAAATGGCACGATCCTTGTTTCACTGCGAAGCTTCATCTGTGAGATTGACAGTCGAATCAGGTTCCGAATCTTCGACTATTGGGGGTCAGCCCTACTAAATTCTGTCTCTGTGGTCTCGCTCAATGTCCCGCCCACAGCACTATCTGATTGGTTACACGTCACGAGTAATAGCCTATCGACACTGAAGGCCGATGTGCCTCAGACTGGCAAAGACAGTGAGTGGAGCTGTGTGTCAAAGGTAAGGCAGCCGATATTACTGAGGCGGGAATAAACATCACTATCTTATAATCTATTTCTATGATGACAAGCAGCCCAGTGTCCCAGTTACATCACTCAAAATGCCCTGTCACAGCCAACGTGATTTCACTCAGTGGAGGCTTTTAAATTAGTCGCTCTCCCCTAATCCTCTCACCGTACATCTTTCTTTTCTATTGATCAACGGAATAATTACTTTAAAAAGTAAAACTGTTTTTCAGGATCTATTGTATGTGGCTTATCACCTTGGCTGAACAATTTCTGGCATTTATTTAATCTATTATTTTCTGCTCATAATCTGGTGATGTAAATTAAGAGATGTTTTATTGCATAGCGTGGAAACAACTTAAAAAAAAAACAAAAAAACCCAGAAACAATGATTTGCATCGCCAAACAGATTGTCAGAATATTTTGCCAAAAGTGGCTTAATTTGTTCTACTCTTAATTTATTTATTCTCAATTTATTCTAAAGAAATAAAATAAAATATTTTCACATTACATTGCATCTATGTAGACATTTGGCGTGTTCAGTCAACTGGGATTTTACTGTTATGCCAGCCAGCGTAGACGTGGATATTTTCAACACTGAGCACAGGAGCAATAATCTAACCTATCCGCCAACAATACAATGTTGCAAGAGTTAAAAAAAGAAGAAAAATATACACTTAGCAATTTCTTGTGGGTCATAATATACCGTCTGCACTTGTTCAAGTCTGGCCACATCCTCATAACATATGGTAAATACAGTGTTTCCCACAGAATGACAGTGTAACAGTGCCGCGTGGGCCAATTGACAGCATTGTGTTGGACAGATTTGTGCAGCCGCGTTCATGATTCTAACGTTAACCATTCAACTTCAGATTGATTCACTAATCTTCTCTGCGCAGAAAAGCTGGCAACAACCCTTCCTCCAACTCTACAGTCAAATACGATGTATCCATTTAAAAAAAAACAAAAAAAACACGCTTGCAGCGTTGATATTATGGCGGACCGCCACAAATAAATCAATGTATGGGAAATACTTATATACACTTGTAGGCTGCAAATGCTAAATAACTAGAACACATTGTTCAAGACGTAAAGAGTTAAATTGAAAGACCAAGTAAACCTGAAGTGCAGTGTGAATAAATATGACAGATGTGCAGGAAGAAGGAAGGAGTATACTTTTTAGAGCAACTTTACATTATCAAAGAAACTTGCTCAGTGTAACAGAAGCTGTGGTTTAGTAGTCTCTTTGTTTTAATGTCATCTCTGTGTCTTTGTTCACTTTTGTTACTTATTTATGAAACCATCAACCAGCACCCAGTTACTCATGACTAAAACTTAGACTAAACATTTAAATGGCAGTAATGACATCAGCAGGGCTCACCTGAAGTGTGTTTGTGAAGAAATCATGGTAGAACATTGGCCAGTCCTGGCGACCGATGTCCACAATGACTTTACAGAGTTTGTTACGGATGAAATAGGGCACCGATTTGTGCTGACCAAGTAGGAGTTTGGGCAGACAGCTGCGAATCTCCATCTTGTCTTGTGAAGCAACACCGATCCACATCTTGTTCACGAGGTTCTTACAAGTAAAAGGGAACAATCAGATGTCAAAGCTGTGTCTAAAGCACACTACAAATTAATTTCAGACTACATTTTGTAACTTCTCAATAATCTGTGGAATGACTATTTATTCATAAAGACATTTTATATACACAATGTAAATGCTCACAACAAAAAACATTTAATAATAAAATAAAAACATTTTTACTATCACACCTTTTACTACAAACAAAACCCTGCAAATGAAACGCCTACATTTAAGCAAACATTTCCTCATATTTGCATTAAAGAAGGTGAGAGTATTCACAGGATGTTCAGCCGTTTACCCACTGCAAAATGTGTCACACATTTAGCTAACTTGTTTTGGAATTAAACAAATGAGGAAACAGGAAAACATCATGAAATAAATTCTCTTCTCAGTACCTACAAAACAATACATCTCTCTGTGTGAGATCTTATTTTCAAAGGAGAGAAAAGGTAAAGAAGGCCAGTACAGTACAGTACTATGAACTGAAAATAAGTGCCTCCCATCTACATGACTTACTTCAAATACTGTGAGGCTGTACATCATTACATACTCATTCCGAGTATTGGAGAGGAAGAACAAGCAGTGGCGCCATGCTCCGGTCTGCTGTGCAAAGTTATTCAGCAGCTCTTCTGCAGAAAAAAGGAAGTAGGCATGATCTCTGACAGTACATGGCAATGTTGTACTTCACATGCAGACAGACTGAAAGTAATGCGTCACAACACAGGAAGTGCATAGAAAGCAAAAGATTTCAGGTGAAATTAAACACTCCTCAGTGACTAGGCCTAAACTACAGAATATTCCAGCATACAATACATTGAATTTGGTATCCAGACTTGCTAAGGCAGATATGTGCCAACTGTTAAAATAAATTGGTCATCAAGTACCACGTAGGGAAAAAGGGCTTTGTGTATATTTTGTTTTTATCAAAAGAAGGTAATGAGATCAAAGCAAAGCGATCTAGTTAACTTGATATTAAAAGGACTCTTGGGAACAAGGTTGTCAAACTAGGTTTGTCAGACTTAATTTCACGTTTTTTCCTCTCTTCATTGTTTTATAGACAACAAGTCTATGTTGTTTCCATAAGCCTACACACCAGCTTGGTGGAGACACAAACCTGAAAATACTTGCAGAGCATTCTCTTGCTTGTAATGTGTAGAGGGAGTATTTATAAGGCCAAACGTACCTATTTCTCTCTTTCGCTCATTTGTTGTGCAGCTGTGAAAGAACTCCGTCATAAGGCTCTCCAGTGCACGCAGTGATGCCTCCTCTGAAGCCTAGTGGATAAAAAAAAAAGTTAAGTTAATTACAAAACACACATTTAGACAATTTATTTGACAATATGCATAATCCAAACCACTGAATGCTGTATTTCCTGACCATAATCATCTACACATTAGCGTGACAAAAATCACACTTACACCAGAATCTGTCTATTTGACAGATACAGTTCTGTGGAGTGCATGGCTTGCCCTATATGTGCACAGAACTACAGACCAGTCATAACCCTCTCCAAACACCTGTTCATGAGCAAAAAGTCCAACCTCCGGTGAAGAGAACAATACATTGCCATTTAAGTATCTTGTTTACATCTGTGCATTTATTAGCAAATTTCCTACCCATTCATTTGTTAACAAAAGGTCTGCAGAGCACATGTAACCCTGTGGACTGATTTAAAGAGGACGCCAGTTGTAAGTTAGTGCTTACAGGTGTATGTACCATCTTGCTCAGACTGGTCAATAAGTGAGTTGGAAACTTCTCTTCACATGCCCATGCACATAGCTAGAGTTGGTCACTGCACATGTATCACTAATTGCTGTGTACGTTTTGGCACACGTAGTTCAAATAATTTGTTAATTCTACAGTTCGCAAGTGCAGTCTGACTTGTTCATGTGGTGCAGCATTGCGGATCGCATGAGAGTTCCAGTCTTGGTCATACAATCTAAATCACATATTTACTTAAAACACATCATTTTTGCTACATCAATTGTGGCACCACGCTTTGATAGGCGGAGGAGGTTGGGCCCTGCCTAGCAGAAACGAGATAACAAATTGAGACTTTAAAGAGCAGGTCCTGTGGCAGGCAGGTCTAAATTCCTCAAATAAGCCACAACTTGCCGAGGCTTAACGCAACTCAAATATTCGGTTTTGCAAGATGGGCGTCTTGTAACGTTACAGTGAAATGGCTCAACGAGCTGTCACATCCCGTCAAATACCTGTATCTCGCTAACCGTTATGTGGCTTAACAAGCATAGAGCACCGCAGTGCATGCAATCATACACAATTCCCTATATGTAAATAAATATGAACACATTATTAAAACAGCTTCAGTCTCCTTGTCCAAATGTACGAATCAAAAGCTTATGCACCACGTTAGCTATTAGCAAGTAAGACAGGAAGACGGCGTGAATAACGGGGTAAATAATAAACGTAAAATTATACTTACCATGTTTAGCTGGCTCAGGTGCTTTCTTCAGTTTACTTATTGTCGGATTAATTAGAGTAATAACCCAACATTAGCTACCAAGCTAGCCAGTTCAGTAGCTAACGTTAGCTAAGGTGTTGCAGGCTAACGTAACCACAGAGTGGGCTCATCATGGTCTGCTCGCCTGCTTAACGTTACTCCTCACGCTACTAGCCAGCAAGGGCTGGCGTCGTTGACTCTGTGTGAAATAACAACGTTGAACACGGAGTCAGCCAATTTTACTTTTCAAATAAAACCCGTTTTTGATTACCCAGCATAACTTATAGGCTTAACATTGAATCAGCCATCTCGGTAGGTTAGCGGCATTGTCGCATAACTGCATTTACCGTTAAGCGATGTTAATATAGAAATCTTGTTTTGTGGCACATCCAACAGTGGCTTCCACACCGGAAAAATGTGCAACGTTAATTAGCTTTCTGTGTCAAGCGTTTCAAGAGAAGTTACCCAGTTGCTAACGTTACCGCGGACAGCTAACTCGTTAGCTTTCCTAGCAGGATGAAGGCATCTTTTTCGTTAGCTAACGTTAGCTGTCAAACATAACGTTAGACATGCTTCTGCTGGTCACGACAACTTGCCTTTACCATTTGGATTCTCAAAGCAGGTGAATATGCACGCCTAAGTTATATATCTGACAAATTTATAAATACATAAAACTATGCGCGCTTGTTCCTGTTATTCCCCTTTTCAGTGCTTAGGGCGGCTCAAGAATATAGCTAGCTTGCTGGTTACAGGGTTTGCTTCGCAACTTCCTCTTTAGCTGCAGACCAACCAACCCAATCAGTTTGTGTCAAGTCACGCACAATAATAAAAAGTACGATCTCCGGATACATTTTTCAAACTACTGCCTTTGTGTTTGACAAATACTGAAGACAACGCTTTTGAGTAACACTATCATAGTTTACAATACAATAATGTATTGTGCAATGTGCAATGATCTACATATGTTTTCTCTCTCCTAGAATATGGTTAGCCCACACGGGGACAGTTTACAATGAAATAACGTTACAGAAAAACAAACAAAGGCAAAGCTATCCTGGATCATGTAGTTAATGCACCATTTCGTTTATTTGAATGATTTATTATGAATAATATCCGTGACTGCTTACAACAATTACATGTTTCAGTCACTGTAAACCAAGGCAACTTATAATTACTTTTATAGCAGAAAAGACACAGCAAGTCAACCAAAAGAAAAGCCAACAGCCAAAAACAAACCAATGGGATTACAAAACACATCAGATAAATGCACATTCATAATACGTAAACAGAGGAAACTATGACTACATTCAAGGCATGCAAGATATACTGTTGTTACTGTACCTAAACACTATGGACCCTATGGGGTTTATATAAGTGTTATAATCTTTGTACAGTTGGGAAAAAATTGCCACCTTGGACGTCCAGAGCCTGAAGAGCCACATTCCACGCTTGCCGAGACATTTCCACAGCAGTAAGTGCCTTTCACTATCACCCACAAGGCTTTTATATTTCCTCCTACCTGTAGAAAACTAGCTGCACCATGGGGTTCTAAAATGTCCTCAGAAGTTGTATAATTATATTATGTAGGCCTCTAAAATAAATACTATGAAACAACAATTACAATGAATAATAAATAGCACTTAAAAGAGAAAATATTAATAAAAATTGTTAAAACTGCAGGTGATGCAACATTTACTTGCCCCCACCCCAGTAATTCCCCAAGACTATTCTAGAGGAAAAGGTGTGGTTTTCCTTGAATGCTAACAGAAACCTTTGCTCAGGAATTTCAAACAGAGAACAGACACAGAGCAAACATTGCTGAAAACAAATTAAAGACTCCATCCATCAGAACGGTAGAAAAGAGTGTAACAGTGCAAATATACTATATATATGCTACTAATATATATCAACATGTTTGCTGATCACTGTACTCTGTCATTTCTGTGCCGCAGTGCAGTGGAAAGTAACAATAGTTTGTCAGAAACAGTTAAGTTAGGTTAAACATTCACAATATTTAAGTTCAGGATGATTACATTTTATGAGCTTAATGACCTACAGTTTAATTCAACGTTACCAATCTAGAGGGAAAGACTAGGGACATCAATGTAGCTTCAATTGGACACTTTCTCCTTGGTTGGTTCATTGTCACTATCTGTGACTGGGAGCTTGGCACTTTTCTTGGAGGTGTGCTGTCTTTGTGCTTGCATGGTGTATGCCCAGGCTCTGTCCACACCTTGTCCTTCAATCCTGCAGGGTGTCCATTTAGGGAAGGGGAACCGACCAGCTACCACTAGGGCATCATCAGAAAGTTCAGCCTGCAACTTCTGCTGCAATAAGGAAAGCTAGGAACACAAGAGCATAAATATTACTGCAATACTGTAACAGAAATGGACCCATCAGAAAGCATCCAAATGCAACTGCACCTCAACCATGTGCTGACAGATTCTTCATTGATTTGTTTTCTTTTTATCTGGAATCTAAAAAAAAATCATTGCACTTAGGTTACTTTTAACAAGTTGTTACCACCTGGCTAAAACAGTGTTACAAACACTTAGTACACAGCCAAAGTATAAAAAAGAAAAGTCATGTTCACCATCGTCACTTAAATGTTATTAAACCCTTGCAACAAAAGCTGGCAAGGGCTTCTTGTTTCAAGACAGAGAAGTGTTTCAGCAATACCCTACTCACCTTCATTTCGTCTTTATTCCTACATTATTTGCTTGGCTGTACGCTACACATAGGTGGTCTTTATTTCACAGTTTGTAGGCATTTGTTCGTTATATTACTCACCACGCTAGGAGCCAAAAACACTGTGACGTTCTTGCATTCTGTCAAGTCAACCTGTGATGAGAAACAAGACAAATGGTCAATAGGCACATACCTTTGATAAATATTCAGCTTTAAATAAGATAAATATAATGACAGAAATTGTCTTTTTCTTCTGGTAATGGGTACATTTCCATTGTAATTGGAAAATCATTCGTATAATATATTGTTGCCAAGACCAATTACAATATTATTGTGAAATTCTGTTATTTAAGGGTGTAGCCACTGTTTGCAAATTAGTATTAATACAGGTGACAGACAAATGTTCAAACCTTCCAGAGATCTTCCTGTCGATATGACACTTTTTCATGATAGTCTGCTCTCCACGCATGAAAGCGAGCCAGGCGCACAAGCCAGGGGTTGAGCTCATAGCCGACAGCAGGAGTGAAACCCTTCTGGTGGGCTTCCAAGACCTTAAGGGTTAAATATGACCATAGTCAAAACGCATTGCTCACTTGTGCAAAATAAAGGAGCCCAAATATCTTACCTATACTTACAATCCGCCCATCACCAGAACCCAAATCCACAAGGCCTCCCTTTCGACCTCTCAGGAGTGTCATTACATTTTCTACTTGAGCTTTGCTGGCAGGGATGTACGGGACCTGGAAGACATTTTAACAAGCTTCTGATAAAAAGGATGTTGTTTCTCAAGCCTTTTTAGGGGTACAAGTGGTAAGATGAGTTACATCAATAGTTCTTCAAAGTGTTTTGAAGATGCAGACCACACCTGTAGCCTCAAGGGGACTTTTCGGAAGCCAGGCTGGAGGATTCCTACCCACATAGCATATACAGCAAGCCCGGTGCCAGCAGCTATCTGAGCAACACCCCATACTCCGAGGTGCCTGGTTTTGAGGTCAGCATAGGCCTCATCTGGTGCGTCGTCATCCATTCCCTCATGAAATGTATTTGCCTGTGTTTTGAAACACAGGCAAATGGTTATGAAATATTTCTTCTTTTTGCTGTATGAAATAGTATATTCCGTGGCAGAGGGGCTTGGCCTTGAAATACCAAATATTAATGATCTCTCTACACACACACACATTATACACCTTACATTGTTATTACATACAGTACATCCCTTGTTAAATTTGTGCTTCACAAGCTTGTTTTTTCTGTTGCTTGTAAAACGGACTGTCTCGGGTATATAAGGAAAAGAGGATGTATCATCTTTCCCGACTTGTCTATCCTGATATACCCGAGACAGAGACGGACTGTCTTGGGTCCGTTTTACACACATTGTATGCATAGTGTGTTCTGAATGTCATTTTGTTAAGAAATAGGTTAGTTGCTCCAGCTTCCTGGGCTGAGGATGTACTCGATAGTGAACCAGATGATGGATGGAAATAAATCTGCGTAAACAACAGAGCAGCATGTGTTTCAGACACAGACTTGATTAACTTATTTTCATTTTTAGCCCCATATCTGTGTACATTTGTTGGTCAGAATTGTTTAACCACGACAGACTAAAAATATTTATTAAGGTGTTAACGTTACCTATTATAATCCATTACTGCGGTCGTTGTGTAACAGACGTGTCGTGTGCAGTAGATTGGGGGTCATATGCATGCAGTTAATTTTTGTATCCGGACGTCGTCTGACTGAGAATAAACAACTGAATCATTCATTAGCTCGTTTTGAACCAACACCATGCTGCCGTTCACACACAAAAACGCAACTGTGTTGGTATTTTTGTAATTGACAAGAAATCTCTTCCGACCTGCAGGAGTGAGGGCGGACACATTACTCGGTAACACCAATCCGACTGCAAACTATTCCGTATGTCCGATTGCTAACCATGGAGCGGACTTTAGTTCCGGAATTGTGAACACTTAAAATGCTTCATGTAGTTAATTTTTCAACATTGATTTAGAGCATGTGTTATTATGCTGGCCTCCCTCCTCAGGCAGAAATGGCAATACCACATGACTCTCAATATTTTAATCCCCTCATTCAAACAAAATCGTTCTATAAGAGTACAACACTTTTATTAGAAAGAACACATATACATGAAAAAAATAATCACGCTCCGCTAATACTTTGACACCATATGAAGTTTTTCTCCTATAATTTATTTCTGTAAAACGTTTTAGAAATATTTATTAGCATCAGTATCAAATTCTTTTGTTTACACCAAAACCCAACTTGTACAAAGAAAAACGTCCATATCCAAGTAGCCTGTGAACACTTTTAAGATGAATTGTCCCGGTCAGTCGCTGTCAGCATCATCACTGATGATGCCCTGCAGGTTGGCCCACTCTGTTGCTCTTCTGCGCCCCCTGTGTGTACTGTTTTCCTGATCACTATCAGAGCCGGAGTCCAGAGTGCGCAGGTATGTAGAGGACGGAGGGTCGTGCTTTTCCTGTCGTGCTGAGGATCCTCTTCGTTTAGCTCGACCTTAGAGAAGTATCCACATTAGTGGGTCTTATGAATCAATAATTTCATATTTTGTACATATGCAAGAAAACGCTAAATAATATTACTGACCCAATCACTTCCAAAATTATAGACTGGGATGCATCAATAACATTATATAGGTGCACTGTGCACTATAAATGCCAGGCCCAATGCATTTACACTACTTTTCTAGAATCAATTTGTCTTTCCTGTTCAACGTGCAATTAAAATTAAATATAGATATGAGAGTTTTTTCCTCCAGAAAACTCTAAGCACATAGGAAATTAATTGGTGGAAACACCCAAGAAAAGAGACAACTAATTACCTTGTGTGGCGATGATGTTGTTGACGTCAAGCTCAGCTAGTTCCTGAGCTTCCTCTCTCTTCATTCTGACTTTTTTGCATTTTGCAATAGATGGCTGACCTGTGCCAAAACACATATACATGTTAGTAATTTAACCCATGGTTCCCTGAGCCAAATAAATAGTGTCATTGTACAAAATAAAATCAGTTTTCCAGACATACAATCTACTGAATGTGTTTGTTATTGGGCTTATCTATCCTTCTTACAAAAGCTCAGGCAAGCTCAATGTACAGTATTTCAACAAATTGGGGTTACTAGAACAGAATTGATATTTTTTTTATGTTGTGTGGGAATTCGTCCTTCTGGTGACACTACAGGTCAAGGGACATCACAAAACACTAGGATTAGTTTGTTTTTTTCACACTTAAATGAACAGAAAATGTTAAGATACCTTCAATAGACAAATATAAAACTATCTAACCTTGTCTATTGAAAGGTGAAAATATTCCCACTGACCACTGACACCAAGATCTTCAAGCACCTTCTTCAGCACAGCCACCTGTGAGCGAACAGAGCCACATCCATTGAGGAGCTTCTTGTAATTCTGCTTCACACCACAGAGAGCGATGTAGCGTTTCAGCCTCACGACTGCTTTGTTGTCATCCTGTAGGATGAACCCGAGGACGGAGACGGTGTGAAGAGAAGCTGCAACGTCTATTCTTCATCTCTACTCTACAGTTACCCAATTTACACATATGTTTTGGTGATCCATTTTCAAAAGGTCATCTTTGCTTTTCTGCCATTCATCTTGCACTTCAACTCTCGACTCCTCTCAAAGCACTGAGGGCAATGAAAGGGACTTAGATGCACCTTTACTCAATATGAAGAGTCAGGAATCAGGATAAAGGGCTGGACACTTACAGACAATATTTCAGCCACTCCTTTTTAATGTATAAAAAGTTGTAAATTAAATGATTAACTTCTTGCTTTTATTTAATACTTCCTGCCGTTTGCTGCAGAAGATAAAAATGTTACAAAGCTCGATTCTTCTGCATCTGACTGATTGATTCTGATTGTTAACATCACTCATGGGCTCACCTTTTGACCTCTGGCGCTCGCCTCTTTTTTCCCCGTTTTCTTCTTTTTATTATCCTGCTTATCCTCCACAGAGGATAAATCCGAGTCCGAGTCATCATTTTTCTTTTCCTCTGCGACTTTTTCTTCTGCATAACAACAGAAAGTCATATCAAGTCAAATCAAGTATGTATGGGTTATGTAAGTATGAAGTTTGCATAGTTACCTTTTTCACTGTCGTCTGAGGAGTCACTGCCCTTGACTTTGTTGCTCCTTTCTGACTTGCTGTCCGTGTCACTTTCGTTCTCTTTATTACTCTGGGGTGTTTCTGTCCCTTGACTTTTATTTGTATTTCCCGTCTCTCCATTCTTTGTAGTATTTGCTTTCTTTTTCAAGGAGACTTTTTCTTCTGCATAACAACAAAAAGTCATAAACAAGTTATACAGAAAGTTGTGACAAAATAAATGAGTAAACATTTGTGGTATGGGATCTCTAAGTGTAACATCTGCATAGTCACCCTTTTCACTGTTGTCTGAGGAGTCACTGTCGTTGACTTTGTCACTGTTTTCTGACTTGCCATCCGTGTCACTTTCATTCTCTTCATCACTCTGTGTTTCCTTTCCTTGACTTTTATTTGTATTTCCCGTCTCTCCCTTCTTTTTAGTATTTGCTTTCTTTTTCAGGGAGACTTTTTCTTCTGCAGAACAACAAACACTCTTAAGTCATATCAAAATCGTGACAATATAAGTAAACATTTATGTATGGGACTATGCAAGTTTAACGTTTGCATAGTCACCTTTTTCACTGTCGTCTGAGGAGTCACTGCTGTTGATTTTGTCGCTCCTTTCTGACTTGCCATCCGTGTCACTTTCATTCTCTTCATCACTCTGTGGTGTTTTCTTTCCTTGAATTGTATTTCTACTTCCTGCCTCTCCCTTCTTTGCAGTATTTGCTTTCTTTGCATTCCCTTCTTTTTCTGGCGTATTCATTTCCTCGTCTGTAGAGTCTTCACTGGTCATCTGCCGTTTGCTGTTTCCATTTGTCTTTTTCACCTCTTGCTCTCCATCCTCAGATCCAGATTTAATTTGCTCTTCCTCGTCACTCTCCTCGCTTCCGGTTTTGCAGTCCTCTTTATCCTCCGATTCTGTCATTAACCGCACAAGAGAAGACAACATTATCATGATTTTACAACAGAGCAACAAAAGTCACAGAAAAAACAACTACTAACAAGCCTCAAAGGGAGAACCCAGACGAGGTCAGGGTAACTTATGTGCAGAGTGAATGAGCCGATCTGAAATGGCACTGCCTTCAATGAGCGGCATGCCAAACAAAAAATGTGCAGTACGGCAAAGGACCAATGACTACTAGTATTGTCTTTTGTGAAATAAGCCACATACCGTAAAATTTAATAACTATAAGGGACAGGCCTTTTGCACAAAACCTGCATTTCTTTGTCAAAATGTGTAGCCACACCAGGCCAGTTAAGGGGACAGACATCTAAGGGGGGCTAGGCTTTTAATTCAAGTTTAACAGTATATAGTACCATTGTAAGTTACATACATACATACTTAGACCTGCATCGATTAGTCACAGCTTGTCAAATATAAGGATTTTCTGCATTTATGTTATAATAACTCTAAACTGAATATCTGTGGAAAAACATTTAATGACATCACCAAGCACTGTTCGCATTTTTTTTCTGTCCAAATAAGTAATCGAGAAAGAGCTGCATATTAAGTAATCATTACTTGCAGCCTGAGTGGTCCAGAATATTTTAATTAAAGTAACTAGAACATGATATAGGTTATTAAAGGTGTTAAAAAAACGAATAGTTATAACCTACCTGATGAAGAGTTTGGCTGACAACGGGATTTCTTTGCCCTGGATTCCTCTTCATCATCTCTGTCACTTATCACCTCGTCATTTTCCTTTTCTCTCTTCCTTTTGTTTTGGGGCTTCTTCGTCTCCAGCTCGCTTCCATTTTTGTCATTGTCCTGGCAGGAAAAATCGACATCTGTAAATAACAGCAGCACTAAAATGATCTGCATACATCTAAAGCACTGAAACATATCTAAATTGCATAGGAAGAATTCAGATACCTGCATTTTCATCAGTTCCTCTTCAACCACCCGTTTCATGAAACTTCTGGCCTCTGGACTCAATGACTCACGTCGCACATGTGCCAGATATCGCCTTTTTAAAATCCCTAAGGTCAGTGTGCTGGAATAAGACATCAAAAAAGGTTACATAAAGTTGTTTGAGGCTGGAGGTAATTTTCAGTAAGACATAGTTAACGTGAGCCTTTGTGTTTTTGAACGCAGTCTGAGAAATACATCTGAAAACGATATTTAACATACCCACCTTGTGCTGAAGGACAGAGTTTTAAACAGATGAAGACTGTACATCCTGGACTTAATTAATACTGAAGTAAAATTTTCTTCTTTTTTTTTATATTACAATGGCTACTAGGATACTATGGGCCATTACAAATAAACTCAACGCTCTCTGATAGTGACTTAGACAACTTAACGATTTTATTCACAAAATGGATCCAATCTTTACAGTCACACAAAAACACTATAGAGAAACGACATGGGCACTACTTTTAGTACAATTTCCCCCCAGTAGCATTATAAAGAAACTACTATTAAAGCTAGAGTTTTTTATTTATAAGAAACTATTTATCATGTAGATGTGTTAAAAGTGCGCCGTTTATTTCCTAGACGAATTAGGTTATACTTGGTTATTTTTCTAAACTAAAACGAACCAATTACAGTTACTATTAGAGAGGCTACTACCAATCAGGAGGTGTCGTGACTCGTTTCACACTGATCGCTCATTCACTACTCTGATCAAAAATACGACTTCTCGGAAGCTGTCACAAACAAAGCTAGTGCGGCTAACTTCATTTGAATTTGCGAGGCTTTGCGAGGATAACGTAGCCAAAGTAAGCTGACATAAACCATGTTCACCTGCGTCCCGTGTGTAACTTACAGGTATATCTTAATATTAACTGGCGCTAAATGTGCAACATACCGCTTGTTTGGGTAACGTTAACTTAGTTAAATTACTATTGAAGCTTTGTGTAGATGCATACGTCAGTGGGCATTACTGCATTAGCCCTGCATGTAAACCATAATTAGCAACTCTTAACAAACACAATCAAAGCGCGTGTTCTTCTAACGAAAACTCTTGAATGCTTCAACTGTAACGTTACCTTAGGTCTGGCTCATCGCGGAGTTGACCGCACACAAACCTGCGGATACTTTTTGTCTCCTTCACCGACACCATCATTTTTTAACTGTGGTGGTTTTTGGCGGCGGCGGGGTCCCCCGCCCCCCGCACGTAGCAGGATGTGACGTCAGAGCACCGCCACGCCCTTTCACAATACTATAATATCTTAATAAATTAAACTGAATTATTAATTTATGTGTCTATTACAATTTTAATTTTACCTTTTTACATTTTAGTTGTAATCATGATACAAACACAATGTTAACTTGTATGTTTACAAAGGTGATTTTATTTTACGTGTAATATTTTAATGGGAGAATGTTTTATTCATAAATGTCGTTTTTCTAAAATACTAATGAGCTAACATATTTCATTAACACCAAGTAAAAATAACTAATAAATAACTATAAGAGACAGAGCTTCATCAGACATACAGAAGCTCCCCTACTTACTGGGAGCAAAATTAAGAATTATCTCCTCATACCACAAACAACAACCAGTAGAAACTCAAATATAGAAAATAAAATAGTTTGTATGAAATGACTGTGATATTATCATAATTATTATTGTTTGCTATTTAAATAATTGTTCACAGGAGAATATGATACTGCATATCAAAAATTAAGACGTGTTTTTCTCTTTTTGCATTTCATTTTATTGTTTATTTGTATGTATATTTCTATTGTTTCTCTCTGAAAGAGCGAGAGCGAATGGATCCACAAAATGGATCCAATCTTTACATAGTTTGTATGATGTTTTGGCAATATTGTTGTAATACATTCATGCCAATAAAGCTAATTTGAATTAAATTGAATCAGAATAATTCATGCCAGATGCAGTTTGAATGGATGAAATGTTTTGGAGCATATAAAGTAAGCACAGAAATAAATACCCTGTGAGTAACTTCTGTTTTTGATAAAATTTTCTTTTGTAAAGAAGGGAAAAATGAGACCAAGAAAACAAATGTTGGATTTCATAAGTAATTTATTCTGACCTTTCCCATGACCACTATAGGACGGAAGTTATATTAGTGCATATTTTAAGGTATTCCAAGGTGATTTTTAAAAAGTGTCTGAGATACATATTGCTCTCATTCAATGTTTTTTTCAGTATTCAGAGTGATTAGGTTTACACAAAACACTGGTGAATATCAGAAAGAAAATACATATCTTCTCCCTGAGGGAAATAAAAATACAACCCAGTATGAATTGCCTTTATCATCAGTGTATGGCCAATTACTTGGAGCAAATTTCAGTGGTTTGAGTAAGACATAAAGCAAAAGTGAAAAAAAATCATGGCTCAGAATAAAATGCAATTTCAAAGAAATGGTCACTGTTCCTCTTGAAACATCAAACTGAAATGTAAGTTCACTATTTAGTCATTTACAATCGGATGTGTGCTATTGAGTGCATCATATCATTCCGGAAATTAAAACTCACTTGAGCACTAGTTAACACAAAGATTGCATACAACATGTTAAATACCAAACAATAAATTAGGTTCATAAATTAATTAATAAAAAACATCTTGAAGCAACAGCCGTAATAATTTAAATAAAGAAAATTGAGCTGCTCAACAATCTCATTCATAGACAACCTCACTAAAAATGGCTACTCAGTTTTATTCCAGTGTTAACACTTGACCACCCTGTTCATCTCTGTCAAGCAGCATTAACAGTCCAACTTATGACAAGGCAACAGATGTTTCACAACCTGAATAAACAGACGGACACAGTGTTTCCTACAAGTCAAACACAGACGAGGGTACCAGTGCATATCATTAACACCCACGTTACCAGTGGGCTGTCTGCTCTAGGAATAAAATCCACCTATGGGGTGCGATTTGGGTTTTAAGGCCCATGTAAAAACATGCAGGAGGTTCCTTAACATTTGCAAAGTAATATTTATGCCAGTTTCGTGTCCCAGGTAATTGAACATATTTCCTATTTAAATAATGTACACATTTTGTTTTCTTGTAAACAAAAGCATCTTTCATCTCCAGACGACTCCTACTTCAGTCACAAATCAATCAATCAGTCATCAACCCCTACATTTCTGCAGTGACGTCCAAAGACATTTAATGAAATAACTAAACTACCAAGCTATTGCTATCAGGGATCTCTCTCTCATTCTGCTAGCATCCAACAAAAAATGAATATACATGAAGTCACTCTCCCACGTCTTCTGTTTTCACATTATTAGTCCTTATACACAGTTTGCTGTCCGTGCCCTCTTTCATCGTGCATTATATGCCGCCTTACGTGGATCCGTCTTACTCGTCTGTCACCGCCCACAGCGCCCTCTTCCTCTGATTGGCCCGTTCCCAGTGAGCCTCTTGAATCTAAAAGGTGTAGTCCTCCTGGACCGGATCCTCTGCCAGTCTCATAAATGAGGATATTGAGGGTTTCTTCAAAGATTCGAGCCTCAGGAAACTCAACCTAAAAAACAAAGACGATCAAGTTTTGGTGGTGAGTGGGTCACAATTTATTGATTTATTTGGAACGTGTTGTGTGTTGAGTTCAGTCGAGTACACAACAGCATGGGACGCACAGTCATGACAGAGGACACTGGAAATGGAAACTTTGATTAACATTTGTCATATTTTTCCTGCTCAGCAATGCTTCTCAGCTACGGGGAAGCTGCTCACTACGTCACCGCACCACATCGCAATCATTCACTTAAGAACAGCTGTATGACTTACAGGTACTCTGTAAAAGGTAAATGTAATGTGAATAACAGTAAAATCTGGAGAACATATCCTCTAAACTTTTTAATTTGAGATGGTTTGCAGAATTTTAAACTGTTCAGTTTTAGACTTGGTATTTTTTGGTGTGCTATATTAGTTAATATAATACTGTTCCCACCCTAATCAAATCACCACTTCTATTCTAAATACTTAAAACAAATTGATTTGCCATCACAAAGTAACCTACTCTGAACACAACAATGCCATCAACAGCTTAAAGGCGTAGTTCCACACTTATTCGCCTTCTGGGAATAAGGAGAATACACTTATTCGCCCTCTGGTGGAAAGTTAGATGGAGGAAATTGACACCACTAGGCATCTCTCTGTTAAATATAAGGCTACAAACAGCAGCCGGTTAGCTTAGCCTAGCATAAAGAAACCAGGAGAAACAGCTAGCCTTGCTCTGTCCCAGGTTTGTGTTAATTAGTGATCTTTAGAGGTTCTGGTGGGAAGACTTTTTTTTAACCTTTGGACAGATTCAGGCTAGATCTGTTCCCCATTTTTGTGCTTAGCTAAGGTAACTGACAGCTGTCTAACTCACTATCAGAGAGCGAATGACCATATTTCCCAGAATGACAAACTACCCGGACTTAATGTTGATATTAATTCGTGCTTACTTTGGTCTGCTTCTTCTCTGTGGCATAGACAATGGAAGTGCAGCATACTTCAGCAATCTTGCGGCCTTCACCGTAGAAAGACCAACAGCAGATCTCATCCCCAAGCACATCTTTGACAAACAGGACACGGCCATTGAATCGTAGCACAAGTTTGTCAAACAGTTCAATGTTCTTCAGCAGGTTATCATCAGAGTTGCTGGTCACAGGGAGAGACAAAGAGCAAGTAATGAGAAGATAAGTAAGCGCTTTCCACTCAAAAACTGAAGCTAAAAAATTAAGGTAAAGTGAACATGTGAGTTTTTGTGGCGGCGTGTTTTCCTGGTGTGCACAGTCAGACGTCATCTTTACCTGGTGTAAGAGTATTTGTTGTTTCCTCTGTTGTTCTGCAGTTTTACTACCGGCTGTAGAGACAAGAAACACAAAAAAATCCAGGCAATTCTGTAGTGTATAAGTACATAACTGTCTTTATAAATTGTGAGTCCATACAAAAAGAACCAACTCCAAATTCCTTTAAGAGTTACATTTCTGAATTAAATAATTTCTGACATTGTTAACAAAAAAACCCCACAACAGACTACAGTTCATGGCTCACACTTCTAAATCTCTTCAAACCATCTATTATTGTTTCAATTCTGTACAGAGAAGCAGTCAAACCCTTGATACGCAGAGGTACACTGGAATTAGGGTTTCACAGCTGCTACTGTATTATACACGTTTGTCAGTGGTCCATTTAATTGAGATAAAATTAAATGTACCTTTCTACAAGTAGCAATCATCTTCTGTTCTTCTTTGGCGGAGGTAATCATGGGGATGCGACACACACTTTCAAACACATCCTTTTGTTTCTGCCGGCAAATAAAGAAAGTACATTTAAATATATCCGCAACTAATTAACCATCTAAGTGGATAAGAAATAATAAATTCATAATTTATGTGAAATACCCATCATAAGACACACAGGTCTAAAGTCATTAAGTTCCTTGTTAAGTCAGACGAATAGCTAAAACCTGGAAATCTTTGTATTTGTGAAGGTGTGACCAGTAGATTTGGTTTTACATAATACCTGACCGAGACAACAATCAATCATACTGAAATCCATTAACTAAGTGCTGATCAGCTCATCCATCCATTATGCTTTACATCTGCATTTGTGTATGTTTGCAGGCGCTCTTGTAGACAAACAAAACCAACAAAAATTGTAAAAGTATCATCTGTTTACCTGCATGGCACTGAGGCAGTGCTGGATGAGTCCCTGTACCCGATAGTACTGAGCCTCTTTCAGAACCTCCTCCAGTTCCCTGTGGTCCTCCGGAAGCGGTACTGAGCCATCTCGTAGGAAGTTCAAAACCAGTCCAAAATGTCGGCCGGACCTATCCAAAACAACCCAACCTGGGAACGCAGCAAAAATTATTTTTTGAGTCATTTGCATTCCTTTGTAATCTTTTTGGGGTATGTCACTATCTGCCAAGGATGTGGTTCTGGCCTTACAGCTAACAAACTTTGAGCTCAAAATCTTTAAATAATTAATGTGGGTATGGTCTTTAGAATTTGCTTACGGTAACAATACTCATATCCTTTCTGAGTCAGCATTTCTTGCTGAGACATTTGAAAAGGCAAAATGGTAATTTACAAAAACTCTCTGGACTCACACTCAGCCTAAGCTCAGATACTTACAACATCAGAGTGTTAAAAGCCAGAAAAACTTATTCTGTTCTTCGCCCTGTGCTGGTGATACACTATGAAACACTGACAGCTGGAATAGACACACCTTTCCCATACAAATGATTTTAGTTGTAATAACAACCAGTAGAGACAATCCTGTAGTGTGAGAGAGTGAAACATCTTCCCTGCCAACTTCATTACAGTATTTTATACGTTTGATCTCTTACAGCACAAAACTGGGTGACACCACACGTGTGAGACTTTCTGTCCCAAGTTCACAAACATGGATCACAATGTAGAGCCAGTAAAAAGGTTTGTGCTCGACCAGAGAGAGACATTCACTCACCTTCTGAGTCTATGGTAACCTCTGTTCCTCCGTTGCATATGCTCCTCAACATGCTGTCTTCCTTGCTTAACGTCTGGACGGTCGTGTAATGCAGAGAACCACCAACATTTAATTTAACATATTTGCTCCCCAGTAGGCCGCGACTTCCGAGCTCATCAGTGTTGTGGAAGGCAGGCTGGGAAACAGCAGACTGGGCAGAGTCAGCAGCATTACTGCCAGCTGAAGCCTCAGCAGACATGGGGCTGAGGAGTCACTTCCTGACTGTAGAAAAAAGAACACGATGGCTTGTTTATAGCACAGGTTTCGATCAGAACAATTCTTTATTATGAAAATAGTCAATAGTTCAGGCGTCTCTGAACTACTGACTATTTGCATAATAAAGCAGCACAGACACCAGATGTAGAACCACACCCTGCATGAAATATTAAAATTGCTAGAAGCTGGAGTGAGGTACTAAGATAAATGCAGTTAAATTCTGGGATATTCATGCATGCAGTATGTCAATAGTCCTCATGTGTATCCAAACATATCCAGCTTGTATGAAGGCTACATACTAATGAAACAGCTGGTGTAAGTGACACCAAAACTACAACAGAAAAAGCCTTGAGAACAATGCTGGAGCAGGAAATTGAGAGGCTACAACATTTTAGCTTCTAAGGTTAGAAGATCTAAACAGCCCTGTTTGTTGTCATCCCAGATACTTCTGGATTAATTAACTTACTAAAGAAGCGTCTTAATAAAAATTCTGATTCTTCAAACACAGCCACTGTGTCCAGTACTTGTTAAAAACTGGACAAAACACATAAGGATGTGAAAATACCCCAAATGGACACCAAATGAGGATTTTCTTTCCAAAGTGTAAACAATTAACAGAAACAAAGCCTTACTCATTATTTGTAAAGTGCATCAGTTTCCTACCGAGCTTCCCCCCCCCACACTTCATCTCAGCGGGATAAGTAACGTGAAGCATTGTTTCAAAACAGCGCTTGAATGTAATAAGTCATCCTACATTAGCACGTAGACCGTCCTGTCAAGTGACTGAGGCGTGTGTGGTGTCAGCTACCACCAAAGTTAGGTGTTTATCTAAACGTTACATAATGTTAGCAACAACTAGGCTGGCTACAAACACAATTCAGTTACCGTTAGTTCACACATGATAGCACTGGCTGAGATCAGCTTGGTTAAGATGCTAACTTGTAACAGGCTAATAAAATCTGAACTATATTAGTTAGCTTAAAACAAATTGTACTTACCACACTGAACATGCAAGGGAGCTGCAAGAGTGAACCTAGCTAAGCCAAGGTGGCTAAAAGTGTGAGCGTTAATCAGCCTGCAATCGATAATAAGCTAGCTGGCTAATATGAACAGCCCAAACGACACAAATGAATTTACAACGCAGCTAACGTTTGACAACTCATGTTAATCGCAGTCAGCTTCACGTTAGCTAAATCAAAGTGGCTAAAAACAGCCAGACTGTTTAGCTCCGCTTTAAGCTAACAGTGCTCTTTCTGTTTGTAGATCGCTTCTTGGGTGAAAAATCAGAAATAAGCCATCAAAAAAAGCAAACTGCTAAATTAAGAAGAGCCAATTCCATTGTTGGACATAAAGATGATCAACTGATGCTAATAGGAGAAGCTAAATAGGTCAATCGGAAACGAAACTACACCACACCGTCTTCCGCTGCTTTCTTCTTCTACGTCTTCATCTACGTGTGACGCGATTTACTGCCACCTTATGGGTGACCACCAACACCTACACTACACAGGTGACTGTTGTCCAGAGAGCATGTTTTTTTTTGTTTTTACTGTAACAAAAAAATCCTTGGAGTTTATGTAGTTTGAACTAAACAGTAACCAGATAGTGTTTAGATGCTATACATTAACAACTCCAGACTCCTCACTGATAAGCTGCCCTGCAAAATAAATATTTTGTCCACCCAAAATATTAAAAACACTGCTCTCTCTTTTGGTTGTTTGTATGTTTAGCAGGCAGTGTGATATTGTGTTATTATAATGTCAGCCCCTAGTTGAGTTGAGCCATGTGTTTAGAGTCTACTGCTCTCCAGTGGTCACAATAACAAGGTACAAGGTAGATTTATTTATCATTTTATAACACAGCTATTGCACAGTAATATGAGTATATATCAATATGTACAAATCACATTAATCATGTGAGTGTTAACATAACGCTTTAATAAAAGTACTCTCTTCATTTGCGAAGATGACAGCGTACCTGAGTGTATTTAGAGTAATGAGTGTGTACTGCCATGTAGTGGTCACACCGAGGAACTGCAAAATTACATTCATCAAGGTAGCGTCAATGCAGACATGAGAGCATGCTAATACTTCCGGTAAATACTTTCAAAATAACGTGGCGAAAGCGAAGCAATCCCAAATCAATTTGCAGAAATTATGATGGAATGATGTTGTTCGTCATTCTCTGTTGACAACAACCAGTGGGACTAATACATACATACTGATTATTCTTATTCTTTAGGGTTATTAATATGGGTTTTCAAATCTAATATTTATTAATGGCCTGCTCATACTTCCGGTGAATACTTTCAAAATTAAATGACCAAATTAAAGCAATCAAAAACAAAAATAAATTATAATTATGTTGAATAAAATAAATTTGAGTGGGTGAAACTTGAAATATTGGTAAGCTGCGTTATATGCTCCCACTCTGTATTTGTATTTCCCGTTGCCCTCCTCAGGCGGTAGGGTAGCATCCTATGTCTAGTTTGCTATCTGTCCTTGTGTAACCTCTCCTCCTGGTGTGTAAATGTATTTGTTTTGGTATGTTGTTAGCATTTCTTATATATTAGTATTATATTTGTTTTGATGGGCTTGTTTGTTCACAATCTATCTGGTCTGAATACTGTTTTGTTTTGTTTTCTAGGCCTATATATTACGAGAAAGGATCACAGAAATTTTCCCCAAAGTAAAACATTACTTTAAATATATGTATCAATATAGTGTTTGTTTTGTGTATTAAAAATAAATGCTCGTTTCTCCAAGTTTTACACCATTCAACAGAGACTTTATTTCCAGTTCAGCAAATAATTTACTGCCTTCAAAAGAGTGTATTCATATATGAAGCAAAGAAATGCTACTGATGATAAGAGAAGAATTAAGTCTACAAAGCAACAGTCTCCAAGATCCTTCATTTCGTACAGTAAATGAGACTACATTCACTGTTCAAACAATCAGTTGTAAATAAATACATAATGCATCACAGCAAGCAGCCAAGTTTGTAATTTTTCATCAACATAGTGCATACAACATCAAATCTGATAACAATGATAACTGTCAATAACTATAATGATAATGGCAAGATTGAGCAGAAGCAATATAATTTACAATCAGTGCATGCTCTAAGCATAATGACATTCATGTCCTCACCTTTTCTTATATGTCATGTGACACTGGGTGACGATGCACTCCAGAAACAGCGAAGAATAAAATAAACACTGCCTTTGTAAACAGTATTGCAACAACAGATGAAACACTTAGGGACATTAAATTATTTATATTTTGGCACTGAATTTTCATTACATATATAATGAAAATATATAACCTCCCGCCACCTTGTGTAAGTGAATATATGAGGCTTATATATATAATTTAGTATACATATCAACCTCAATCAATATTAAGTCATATTTACATTCAATTTGTGTGTACGTGTTACACAGAGCGAGAGAAAGACAAAGTGAGGAAGAAAGAAAATTACTGTGTTGACTTTTTCTCATGATTGAAATTAAAGTATTCTTCCCCTTTGTTGTATCGCTTTGGAAAATATAACATGAGCCACTCTAAAATTAAAGAAAAAACATTCAGTGGACTTACTGTATTTACTGCTCATGACTGTAACTTGTGATAGTTACAAATAAAGTATTGCCAAGTTCTCAAATGTTTTGGCCTCATAATAAATAAATAAATAAATCCCTTCATGTTTTCCCCCCTCTCCTGTTCTTTTGCCTCCCACACTGCTATATTTCTTTGTTGTTAATTTCTTACCCTTTATAAGGCACCAGTCCTAATGATACAGAAAGTTGGACCGTGAAGTAGGACCCGCGTTTGGCAGACCACCATATCAGTGCAACAAATCAAAATAAATCACTTCCACAATTGATAAACCAGAGATACAGTCATGTTAGAACATTGAGATAATTTAAAAGGAATGAAAAAAGGGGAGTGAGGCCTTATAATACTAAGGAAATTTGTTTTCCAAAAGAATTTAATCTTTCTGTGGTTTTTAATTCTTACCAAGACATTTTCTCCTTTAAATGGACACTTCATACTCCCGTGTATCCTGTGGTCAAAGTAAGAAATCAATCAGTAAAATATAATTTAAGACTCTGAAATGACAACATATTCTAAGGAATCAGGTCTCAATTAAAACAAATGTGAAGTTCAGGAAAGTTTAAAGAATCTGCTTTTCACTTACCCCTGCCTCATAAAGAGGATTGTTGAAATCGGACTCAACTGTAATGGGACTGTAGGAGTGCGTGTGAGAAAGAGACTTCCAGAAGAGCGGCTTCCACTCTAATCTGCATATGCTGTAAGTGAGAAAATAAAATGACATATAACCACACGAACAAAGACTGCAGTGTGGACATTATTGTGAACTGAGGCGAAGAAAAGCAAAAGCAGTGTTACAACCGCAGAGATAGGTAACTTGCACAAATTTATCAAGGATTAACTTTTGGTTACCCAGGGTACTTACTTTGTATAATACATGTAAATTCCTCCAATCAGGAGGATGACCAGGATAATTGGCAGAATTATCGCCAAAGCAATGTTCTCACTCAGGATCTGATGGGACGGCTCGAAAGACTGGGACACTGTGAAAATAGACAAAAAGTCCATTATTATTACATCTATTGGCACATACATTTTATTTGCTGAAACTTAATAGTATAACTTTTACTAATCATTTTACTTTTTTTTTTTTTATAAATTTGTCTGCATTAATTGCATTATATCTTTTGTGAAGTACATTAAAATGTTTTGTTGTTTACTTTTGTAGCAGCTATCACAGGTTCATCTGAAATAACACCACTAGATGGCGCCAGAGCAATGATTTAAAATCCTACACGCAATGTGTTTATACACATCACAAATAGTAGAATAGAAAAGAAATTACCTTCTAATTTGTGATCATCCAAAAGCTCCTCATATGCCACTGTGTGAAATGAAGATAAGAGAGAAACTAATGATTACAAATTACACCTGAAATACACCTTCAGGATCCTCCTCATCATATTTTATGCTGATCTATATAATGAAAGTATTATAATAGGTTCCGTTCCTCGATTGAAAATTGTTCTCAAAGAAGGTCTAGACCACTATACATGAATATGATAGCCTTTACCTTTGCAAAAGGGTGGCGGGCTGTTCCACTGAGAGGGATGGCCGGGAACACAGCTGATAATGACCTCACCGATAAGTTCGTAGCCCTCATAACAGAAGAAACGCAGAGTTTCTCCTGCCTGGTAGCTGTGCTTGTACAAGGTTTGGTAACCATTGTCAGGGACACCAGGGTTTGGGCAGGGATCATATTTTACTGTTCAGAGCACACAAAAACACACAGAGAGGACAGTTATGAATTTGCATCAAAATCTGACAAAATCTGCAAAAAAGTGCAGGAAAAGGACTTACAGACACACTTTGGGCTGCGGTCACTCCATTTTGGGGTGCCAGTGTCTCGTCCATGGCAGGAGATTTGGCTGGGACCTTCCAGTTGATAACCCTGGTTACAAGAGAAACGAACGACTGTCCCAACTGCAAAACCAGCTTCTGGGCGCACTGAGCGCGCACCATTTACCACCTCTCCTGGATCAGGACACTGCTGGACTGTGGGGAACAAAGTGGGACACATATGATAGCATTTAACTACTTCATCCTGCCATTGGAATTCATTCAAAATAGTTCAATACAAAGAACAGAGAAACAATAGCCACCACTGGGGCAACACAGGTGAGCTCATGGGAAACATGGGGAAACAGGTAGCATAGCTCTATCCAAACGAGGGCTGTCCCTGGCTAAAGATAGTCAAATCTGAATTATTAAGTCTTTCCCATAGTCAACTGATTGTCGAATCACGTGTGTGAATATGTGTGTGTGTATATGGGGAGGGTTTACACACTAGGGGAAGAGTAACAATGTTGGATTTATTCACGGACATCATCATATGCTGTATTTTATATGAAGAAAACTGGTAGTTCTATGTAAAATCAGACTTTGAGTACCCCCATACAACCAAATGGTATGATCCTCATCGCATAACGCCGAAGAAACCTCCTACTAGCACCTCTAAAGCTCACTTATTAACATTTTATATCTAGTTTGTTTAACTCTTAACTCGACATTTTGCCTTTTTACTGGGACTTGTGTGCCAGACTTTTTCTTGGAGTCTTCACTAATTTTCTGGCAACTGTTAACTGCGAGAAAATAGTCCGGCAAAAAAACCTGCATAAAACCACAACCTGTCAATTTTACACTTCAGTTTTTGTATGAATGAAACAAATGATTTATAACATGTTAATGAGCTTTGGAGGTGCTGGTAGGAGGATGAACTGTTTCCCCTTTTCCATTCTTTCTGCTAGATGAGATGGCGCTGACTATAGCTGCCTCGGTGTTCGGTGCGCTTTGTTTTGTTTTGTTTTGTTTTTGTGTGT